GACTCAGCAGTAGGCCATGTACTGATACTGATGATTTAGTTCACTATTTAAAGTTTAGCTTGCATGGGGTTTTTTTTTTTGACATTTTCTCTGGTTATTTTCAGATGCAATTTTCCCCCCCTTAATAAAAATCCCATGTGTGCTGTGAGCCCCTATGAAACAATGTCCAAGTGGGTCAGAAAAAAACTGTTGGAAAAAATGAAAGCAGAGCTCTCCTATGAGAAATGAACGGATATAATGAGAAACTGAATATTTGAGGCCTGTAAAGCTCAAACAGTTGGACTTTAATATGCCTGCCTTTTAAACACCAGTCAGACACATCAAAAAACAGCCAATAAAACTAGGAAGAGCATTTTCAGCTTAAAAATTTTCCCTTTTATGTACGAATTTTACGCACCAGTGAAATGCTGTAAGCTGGAATGGCACCGAAAAAAATAAAACAGAGAAAACAGCAAATCACATGCCAAATCAATTATGTAGAAACTAACACCTCTGATCATCTGAGGGGGGGGGGTTTCTGAGAAATATTTGGATCTTAACAAATAACCTGACGAGCAATGTTACGTTTGTGAGCAAAACTTTAAAGCTCTAATTTATTTCAGTGTTGGCTCAATTCAACAGTTCCCTAATGTCATAAGCTGCCTAAAATCATCATGCAACTTCATGCTAGAGTAGAATCACCTATTGATATGCAAAGCATTGCAAATTTCTAAAAAGATGTGTCAAGTTCCACCTTGATTATTTTTGTCTGTTTGGGGGGATTTTATATAGAAAAATGTAAAAACACGGTCTATTTTTTTCAATTCAGTCCCTTTTACTCTGATACAACTATATAAACCCCAATCAAACCAATAGGCTCTATGCACAGCTTCACTACTTCCTGAATTTAAGGCAGTGACCTCAGTTAGAACGACAACAATGGCCAGACACACTTGGATTAATCAGTTTATCCAATAATAAAAGACAGAAAATAAAGGAGCTGTGTTCATTCAGGAAGTAGTGGAATTGTGCGTAGAGCTTGTCCCCTTAAGAACTCCTCTTTTTTGCAAATAAACTCCATATGAGTGTAATCGAAGATGAGCCATTAGGCTGGATAGTTCATTTCATTTGCAATAAATCCACAATTTTACAAGTCACAATTTTTTTCTCCTTTCAATTCAAAAATACTTTATTAATCCTAAAGAAAAATTAAAAGTTAAAATCCTAGGGTTTATTTTCATCATAGAGGCATTTAATTTTGGTCACATTTTTTAGCAGAAGTGACTACTTTTATCACTCCAGCCATTTAGGTGGCAGCAATATGCTTAGAAAGTGTTGCTACACAGAAGAGAGAGTTGCACCTGGAAAGCTATACATGCATGCAGGTAGAGGTAAGCAGTTTGCCACACAGCAGTAACAGTAAAGTCCTGTGACATTGTACTCTGGACAAGCAGGTCATAAAAACAATTATTTCTCTGGTATAGAAAAACTACATTCTTTTGGTTAGTGCAAAGGAAAATCTAATTAAAACAGTAATCACAGTTTTGGTTGGAAAATTGAATTACACATTAGATTTTAGACAAAAACATTCAGCCTTAGTAAGGAAACATTATTTAGCAAACATCATGAGAACCAATTGATACAAAAACCCTAAATAACATATGGCCAGAAGAGCAACATTGTCAATACAGACTTAATTTTAGCTATGAATCCATAACGTGATGATCTGAAAATCAATGTTAACGGATGCTTTACATCCTAACTGAGCTCTTAGCAAAGAGCATTCAAACCTCTAGTTGTAAATGTTATTGACCCGTTAAGGCTGAATATAGTTGCGAGGAATTTGTTGTTTTTTCAGAGAAATACAAGATTCTGTGTCTTACAGCAACAAAATTCCAATAACAAAGCAACTACCTAAAAACAGAAATAACTCAGCATGTGTTTTGGCAATGTGTCCAGTTAATAACCTGAGGTAAAGCTGCATCAGTATGGGGGGGGGAGAAACAATCCTTTGTAGACAAGCCACATAACATGGTGTGGAAGTGATTATGGCCCTTAAGCTCCCATGACATGGATATATCCTGGCTCTGCAGCCGTCTGTCAGAGGATCATACTTTAATCTGATTGTAGAGACACTAGGTATGACACAGGCGCCTCAGGAATGTAACCTGTCGTTAATATCAATTACACATGGATCTAATTGCCAGAAAAATCACAATGGCTTAGGAATGTTTCGGGAAGTAGACAACTTTCAAAAAAGATTAGAGACGGCATTTTATTTTTACCTCGGTCAGCGAAGCAGGTTGCTTTTTAGTATCTTTTCGTTCATTATTGACAATGTGACTGACTTCAGTGCATACACATAATAGAAATTAAGTAATGAAGTAGACTATTTAAGCGTTATTATCATGAGATCAAGGTACACTGAGCAGCAGGGGGTACATTCCCTGGGAACATTACCACTATAAAAAGCCAGTAAGCGCAACTAACCATTAATTTTCACTAAATAATTGGCAAACCACCTTTACCCCCAGTCTTCTGTTTTTAAAGACCTACATACCAACTCATGCCAGCTGGCATGACACAATCCCTGGCAGTCCTGTCCTTTGACGCGAGAAGAGGTGGACCGCTTTAACCTCACAGCTCTCTGTAACCTCCATATTAGCTCCCAACAATTTCATTTGGAGCTGGGAAAGGACAGCCCTCTCGAAGTCCAACAGAAACACCGGGCCCGGGAGCTCCTTTTCAATTCCAAGTTAGACAAATAAATCCATACATATTTGCGTTGCAGCTAACCAGGAAATATCACGCCAACCTTTGGTTTTTGAATGTCTAAAGTGGGCAAAGCATACACCAGGCATGCGCCAGAATTCACGTAAAAACATGTGGAGACAATAACGTGAAAAGGCCAAAGAAAGTGCATAAAATAGAAATTAAAAATATGAGTTTTAATCTCCATTCTGTTGAAATATTAAATAAAGTAAATATTAAGATTTTTGTTAAAGTGTTTAACACTTTAACAAAAAGTTAAAGGACCTTTTGACCTAATAACAAAAGGTCAGATAAATGCAATCAGAGTTAATATATGAGACAGTTCAAAAACTTAACAGTCCTGCCAATCGATAAAGGACACCAAGTGTTACAAAATGTGACATGGAAAAAGATAGACCTATTGTAGCAGATAAATGGATGTAAAACATGTGGTCACACTTTTTCTAGCCTTATATTCAGGGCAAATGCACTGAAACACATGTCTTAATGAAAGAAAATAAAGGTTAAGTTATAAAACATCCAGTACTGCCACATCTTTGTCACTTCTATTATGTTTATTTTGATATGCTGCCAGTTCAAATTAATTGGTTTGTACCAAATCCATGGTTTGTAACTTTGTTTGCTAAATGTCATTGTTAATGTTAAAGAGTTAAACTTTAATAGCTCTTTTAACAGATAATTATTTGCTGAATTATACCTTAGTTTCATTCTTATTTTCAAGCATGTGCTATCAAGAGTTGAGTGACTCTCAATCATCTTAGACTTGGTTTCTTCATAGTGTTAGATGAGACTAAATAATGCTTCAGCTGAAACTATGATATAATTAAGCAAACTAGGCTGTAGTATTGTTAATCTCTGAGATGTAATCTGCAGCACTATTTACATAAGGATTTTTTTTTCTAGCATAATTGACAAAAAAAGATATAAAATAGTAGCATGCAGCTAACTGTCCACATTGTTAATGAAAGCACAGCAGTTGGACCTAAAAAAAAAACATTTATAATTGTTTTGGAGCAAACTGACACATGGCTTCCTTTTAAATGTGCTCATACATCTTGGTGCTTCTGTTCTAAACACTTGACATACTGTATAATGAACATATCTAACATTGAGTCTTCTTAACTCAGTAGCAGCATCCTCACAAAAGAGTGTCATTGTCAGTATAACCTGGTAGAGCCCTCACTGATTGAAAAATATTATTGGATTTTTTTATTTTTTTATTTTGGGACCAGTCAGTCTTTTACCAGGGTCAATCAAGCTGACTCAAAATATGTTTTCTTGGTGCGTATTTTAAAGAAAAACCTTGTAAAGCTCTGGGTGTAGCAGATAATAGATTGAAATGGAAACATAAATTTGACTTGGAATTAGAACTAATAACCTTATATTTTGGTGTATCAACATTAGCAAGAAGGATTGCTTCTAAATAAAATACAGAAACAAATTCAGAGCAATAAAATTTTGTTTCAGGGTCTCTAGTTCAAACAGGCTTTCATTTGTAATAAGGTGGAAATGAAGGTTGAGCCCGGGGCAGTTTTTAAACAGATCTAACATATTTGCATGAGCTGGAAAACACAGCTAATTTTAATAATGACTTGAAAAAAGGATTTTTGAGTAATTCGACAGTTAGGTATGATTATGAACCCAATGACTGTAATGGGATCAGATTAGCTACAGTAATACAACAAGCAGTATATCAATTTATATTTCTTTAACCAGCTATATCAGATCCTTCTTATCAGACCTAAATTGTGCTGTCTCACTACTAAGCAGTAATTATATTGCATTGATTACAGTTGCCTGTAAAAGCAGGGAGGTATTTGGTAAGATTATAAAGCCAGATTACTGTAATCAGAAATTTTAAGTAGGTTACATTTGAATCATTGTTATTTATATATTTTTTTTCTGACTTGAACGCTAATTTAAAGCATGAACAATTGATTCCAGGAAAATCAGAGTCCAGCATGTAATGTATATTACTGTATCAACCTGTTTGTTGTGGCCAGTTACTCTTACTGTATATTTTCAGCCTTCTCTGGCATCTGTCCTACACCTTTGAAGTGCGAGGAGTATCCAACCGACTTTCTTTTATTTTAGATTCAAGTATAATTTAGAGCGCAACTTTAAGCCAACAGTAGATGGCCTTTTTCTATTCCGTGTGCTGTTTACAGCACTGATGTTTTTTTAAGGTTTGGCAACAGCCAAGGAAAAAGTTAAGCAACAGACAGAGAAGGATGCAATTGCTATCTTACCCTCCATCCTCCTGAAATCCCTCCATTTCGTCCTTCTGCTCTGCCAGAGTGGACTCCAAATCCAAATAGCTTCCATTATGGGAGAGCTGTAGGGCACAGTCATCAGCCTGGATATGGAAAAACACACACACATACAGGTTCGATTTGACCAATGTAAATGTATATATTTATCATATAATAAAACAAGTTATTCTGATAGAGAAGCTCGACTGACAGAGTATACTATAATAACACTGTAATTAAAGTAAGACTTGGAAAGGCTGTGCTTTAATCAGCTGATGTCAGAGCTTTACACTGACAAACAGAGTAAAGTTAGTGAGGAGTCAGATTTTCTCGGATGTCTTTCCCCTCTTATCTCTCTGTTCAAACCCGCCCTC